GTATTATCTGTAACGTTTTATGACCCGCAAACTCCGCCAGTAGAACCTTATGGGCTACTGCCGGTCCCAAGCCCGGATAAAGGAGGAGGGTTGGACATGGGGTTGGCGACCCCATCCCGTCAAAAACTAACTTGCCAAAAAACGCTAACCAGAAAAAATAATCCAAACCATTTTAACTCTGCCCTGGAAGTTGGAAGAACAATTATGACGTCGTGTGATGAAAGCCAAGTTCCCTCGGAAGTCACGGGGCCGATGCCTCTTCTGACAACCAGAGCAACCATTCTTTTAGGTACATGGAACGTCCGTACATTGTGGGAGACTGGAAGACTATTTCAAGTTGCGGCAGAAATGAAAAGATACAACCTCGAGGTGCTCGGCATCAGTGAAACGCATTGGACACAAGTAGGGCAACTGAGACTAGCTTCAGGGGAACTGCTGTTATACTCTGGTCATGAACACGAAAATGCTTCACATACACAAGGAGTTGCACTGATGCTGTCCAAACATGCACAAAAGGCACTGATAGAATGGGAATCTCATGGACCGAGGATCATTAAAGCATCCTTCAAAACAAAGAAAGAGGACATTACGACGAACGTCATCCAATGTTATGCACCTACCAATGACTACAATGACGACGGTAAAGATCAATTCTACGAAAGGCTGCAGTCAATCGTCCAGAAATGTTCACCAAAGGATTCTACGATTCTTCAGGTAGACGTGAATGCCAACGTTGGAATGGACAACACTGGATATGAAGACATTATGACCCGGACCCGGATCTGTAGTGCGGGATCCTGATTCTCTTCTGGACTCGGATCTCGTACTTTCTGAATGCTTATAAAATACAGGTTCTACTTTATATCAAGTCTTCTGCTTCTACTCAATGTGGGTTTGGGGCGCTCGGATTAGAGTAGTGTGTCGTGTCGTCGGACCCTCGATCTTCGCTCCCTTTTTCCGACTATGGTAAACTCGTAATAGTTCAAACATATCAAACGACGTGTTTATGTTTATTCGTAACAGGTTAATAGGTTTTTAGGTATGTCGTCAAACAAGTAGTTTAATATTTTACTTCATTTCAATTTACTGCATAAGCTACTGGCTATCGGTATTTCCTTAGCTGTATCGATATAACGTGATGACGTTTGAAGCAGAAGGTATTGGTTTCAATTCTCGAAATTAATATCAATTCTGAGGTGTAGCAGGTACACATAGCCAAAGACGAATCCCAAATGGGACCAAAAAATTACCAATTTCTGTATACATATATAAAGTAATGTTACGCACGCACGTAAACATGTCATTTGATATGCTTGAACTATTACAGTTTTACCTTAGCCGGCAAACAAGAGCGAGAAACAAGGATCCGACGACACGACATGCTATACTAGTCCGAGTGTCCTATAGTTCCCTTTGAGTAGAAGAAGAAGACTTGTTATGAAATAGAACATGCTGTGGTGGCCGATTTCGACGTATTCTTAATCTTCGTCGTTATTAGGTCACCCAGCCAGTCGTTACTAAATAGAGTCTAACGGTTTATAGATCAGAAGGTGAACACAAAGTGTTGAATACGTTTATTTGTGGACACACCACAAAGTGAAGTTGAAAAGCAGCGAATATAGCGAATGAAGCGATGTACGATTGGAGCAGGCTGTTGAGCCAACTCTATCCGCTTTCTTCGTCCATTCGTTCGCATTGTAATCATGGGAGTTGGCTACGATGACCAATAGGAAACAACATTGAAGTATGTGACATTGACAGTTAGGATGACCAATAGGAAACAACATTGAAGTATGTGACATTGACAGTTAGGATGACCAATAGGAAACAACATTTGAAGTATGTGACATTGACAGTTAGGATGACCAATAGGAAACAACATTTGAAGTATGTGACATTGACAGTTAGGATGACCAATAAGAAACAACATTGAAGTATGTGACATTGACAGTTACGATGACCAATAAGAAACAACATTGAAGTATGTGACATTGACAGTTACGATGACCAATAAGAAACAACATTGAAGTATGTGACATTGACAGTTACGATGACCAATAAGAAACAACATTGAAGTATGTGACATTGACAGTTACGATGACCAATCAGAAACAACATTGAAGTATGTGACATTGACAGTTACGATGACCAATAAGAAACAACATTGAAGTATGTGACACTGACAGTTATGACGACCAATAGGAAACGACACTGAAGTATGTGACATTGACAGTTACGATAACCAATAAGAAACAACATTGAAGTATGTGACATTGACAGTTACGATGACCAATAAGAAACAACATTGAAGTATGTGACATTGACAGTTACGATGACCAATCAGAAACAACATTGAAGTATGTGACATTGACAGTTACGATGACCAATAAGAAACAACATTGAAGTATGTGACATTGACAGTTACGATGACCAATAAGAAACAACATTGAAGTATGTGACATTGACAGTTACGATGACCAATAAGAAACAACATTGAAGTATGTGACATTGACAGTTACGATGACCAATCAGAAACAACATTGAAGTATGTGACATTGACAGTTACGATGACCAATAAGAAACAACATTGAAGTATGTGACATTGAGAGTTACGATGACCAATAAGAAACAACATTGAAGTATGTGACATTAACAGTTACGATGACCAACAAGAATTGACCAATGAGAATTAGTCTATTAAGATATTATTGGATGAATATCCTCCTAACAAGTACCAACTACTCAACAATGATAAGGAAATTTTTTTCTTGTTTTATGTGTTTTTTTGTAGACTGAAGAAGAGAAACGACGTAATTTACCAATTGTTATGCCAAATTTTGATCGACAAACTTGTAATATTTCACAGTCACAATTATCATTTATTGATTTCTTTTTAAAAGGAATGTTTTCAGGATTTGATTGTAAGTTCTTGGCAAATTTCTGATTTTTAAATGTCTTTTTATATAAGGAAACTAAAATTATGATCAGACTATGTAACAGTGAAAAAAAACTTCCAATCGAACCTCTGCATGTTCTGCCTTGAGTCACATTATTTCACAGGGGACATGAAAATATGAAACATACTTGCTGAATGATTGACACTTATTCGACGTTAGGCATTCGTGTTCAAGACCGAAGGTCCTTGGTTCGAAGTCTGCGAGTTGTGGGAGTTGTGAATGCGCACTGTCGATGAGGCCTATACCAGGACGAAATGGTCGTCTTGTGCTTCTAGGTTTCCAGACCGTAGCTGTTACCTTGACGTGGTGGTCGGGCTTGCCTATCGTGATGACCCAACCGAGCTATATTGGCTGGAACATATGTTCCTAAAGGTTCTACCATGCCAGGCAGGTCGATTGGAGAACGATGAAACTAAAAGCAGCTACTCAACGTCTGAGGGCGAAGTCGTACTGCTGACTGCAGAGGGGTGTGACAGCAGTAAGGTGTTTCCCTCGGATAACCAGCATCTGCAGCGATGCTGCCTTCTCACACGGACGGAAGGGGCCATAAAAGGTCAACCGTAAAAATGTCACACCTCACACTACCTCACGGATTTCCGTCTCCTTGGGTAATGGTGCCCACTAAGGGCCTTTAAGAGCGGAGCTAATACTCAAAAATTCTTTCATAAAAAGGCCGTTTATGACCAACCTCAAGCAGTTGTCCCTAGGGTTCTGCGGTCACGCATCCAGGTCTCTAAGACCAACTCTAATCCACCTTCCTTTTCAGGCTCCTCAAGATACACCCTTCCATGGTGTGGGCATCCGGGAAGTGACAACTGCCCTCATAGTCGTAACATCACACGAGACCGAATCGTTCGAAATCAAATCCTTCCTACACCCACACATACCTCTCTTCTCTCCACAATAAATCTGCTCATATTTCCTTGTCTGGCTGCACCGCTAATGCGAACGATGCGAGTTCACGAAACGTCATTCCTGGTCTCTTGAAACCTCGTTCTAGACTACATGTAGGGGCATTTAATGTACGGACATTGTGTCAAATAGAGCAACAGGCATCAAAAGACAGAACTTTAGAATCCGTGCCATCGATGTATGCTGCGTATCGGAAACGCGCATACAGGATCCTAGTAAAATTATTAACCTGATTCCACCTTGTCAAAACGCAGAAGCAGCCCGATTCACTCTTCGTGTATCCGGTAGTCCTGATGCTGCTTCCAGGGGTCTTGCTGGCGTAGGCATAGCGTTGAGTCCTAGGGCAGAATTATCTCTCCTTGACTGGATCCCTGTAGATAGTCGCTTATGCGCTGTCCGACTAAACGAGACAGTAAGGACTCACAAAGGTAGGAACACCCGCCATTGCCTGTTTGTCGCATCTGCCTACACTCCCACTGACTGCAGTTCATATGAGGTGAAAAATGAGTTTTTCAGAAAGCTTTCAGACCTGCTCCAAAAAGCTAGGAGCTCTGATATAGTAATAATGGATGGAGACTTTAATGCTCAAGTAGGCAAACTAAGTGAAAATGAAAAACAACTAGGGGGATGTTATGGTGTCGCGGCTCAGAGAACAGACAATGGTGACCGTCTGTTGCAAGTATGCTCAGATAACCGCCTATTCTTAGCAAACACTAACTTTAGGCATAAGGAAAAGCATCTGTTGACCTGGCGACCTCCAAAATCGTCTCAACGATGGACCCAACTAGATCACATTGCCATCAGCCACCGATGGATAGATTCGATAGAGGACTGTCGCTCGTTCTGTAACCTATAAGAATTATAATCTATTTGGATGAATATTTCGCCTAGCGAATGAAAACGGATGTTTGTTTCTGTCTAAAAAATCAATTCGTAGCTTAGAAAGATTTCTAGGGAAAAAAATTCCCAGTGAAGAAAATATTATTCCTGTTGAGGACTGTGTATTTCTGATGTAAGAGAAACTTTATAACACACTATGTTGTTTTTTGTCATGTCATAAACGAAAATACTTTCTAATGTGTTGGTAAGTATTTTTCACTGAGTGACAAGTTGGCCCCCAAAATGCACTTTCCCATTATATAAATATACATAATTTAAGATCACCACTAGGTATGCTTAAAACTATTGCGGATTCACCTTAGTCGATAAGCGAGAACAAAACAATGAACCAGAGTCCAGGTAGGCTACCCTGATCCGATGACTAACTAAAATTCTTGATATTGCATAGATAGTGTATTCTATAAACACCCAGCAAGCACAAAGCATTCAAGCACTCAACTCTCGTTTATTTATACATCATTGAAACGTCCTTTGGAGAGTCAGAAAAGTAGCACACTCAAATACACAGCAACCAATCACAGCCGGGAATTTCCTGGTGGGAAATGAAATCTCAAGGTCAACTGACCAGCCCATGCTGCCAAACGTGAAATTCAAAATTAAGGCATTCATCCAGCAAGTTCTGGGAATCTGACGTCCCTGACAAAAATCCAAATTGATTAGCGGTATTGCATAAAGAGGTATGCATTGAAAATCAGCGATTAGTCAGTTCGGTACCATTCAGTTATACAGAGCTGCCTCCGAACATGTTTATCCAATGGTTTTCATTGAAGGCATCAATCGGAGATCAATTCAGTGTTATCCATAGCCTTTTTGAGAGAAAAAAAATGATTGTTTCACTAAATTCAGGTATAAAAACACATGAATGAATTAAAAATCTTATAGGTGATGAGAATTGTTTAGAAGAGTGTTACTTTTTGTTAAAGTTACAATGATAGAACTAAATCAGATAATCAAGATAAGCTGTTCAGAAAGTATTCACTGCAGAAAATAATTCAATCGGAGTTGAACAGTCAGTTTGTATTTAAAATCACTAAGAAAGAATGACTTTATGAATTTGCTACATTCATGAATATATTTACCAATTAAGCTGCTTCTGTAGAGAGCTAGTTACAAAAATTCCTAAAAATTCGAAAAGTCTATCAGTGTGTATCACTGAAATACAACCACCAGTTTGGTTGAGTAAATTGTATGATTGGACTGATACTTACTTACTTACGCCTGATACCACCCAATGGAGCATACGCCGCCCACCAGTTTTCTCCAACAAACTCTGTCCTAGGTTTCCTTCTCCAGTTCTGTCCAATGTTTGTTCATTCCTCTCATATCTTTCTCTGTTTCTCAGCATAATGTGTTCCTTGGACTTCCTCTTTTCCTTTTGCCTTGAGAGCTCCATGTGAGGGCTTGTCTCGTGATGCAGTTAGGTGTTTTTCGTAGTGTGTGTTCTATACACTTCCACCGCTTCTTCCTCATTTCCTCCTCTACTGGAATCTGGTTATTTCTCTACCACAGTAGGTTGTTACTGATGGTGTCTGGCCAACGAATCCGAAGTATTTTGCGTAGACAAAAATCAATAAACACTTGTATCTTCTAGATGATGCCTTTCGTAGTTCTCCAAGTTTCCACTCCACACAGTACAATTGTCTTGACATTTGTATTGAAAATCCTGATTTTGGTTTTGG